TGGCAGCGGGTCGAGACCGCCGTCTGGAAAATCCAGACCGTCGTCTCGACTTGGCAGGAATCGAGACCGCCGTCTGGAAAATCCAAACCGCCGTCTCGAATTTGTGAGTGACGAGACCGCCGTCTGGAAAATCGAGACGGCGGTCTCGTCCTGGCGTTGAAACGAGACGGCGGTCTGGTATTCCCAAACGGCGGTCTCGTCCCTTCAGGGCGCGAAAAAGCTTGCTTATCATGCAGTTTGACTTGAATGATTGGCATCTCATGTTCCTGGTCCAGGGCAAACATGGATGATAGTGTGGCGAGGGCGTCAGCAATTTGGTTGTCTTCCCGAGGGATGTACTGAAAAGTAACGCTTTTCATTCTCGAGACCAGCTCGTGGATGTACTCTAGATATGGGATCAATTTTGAGTTTCGGGTTTCCCATTCACCTTTAAGTTGATAGATGACAAGGGATGAGTCACCGAATATTTTGAGCTTAGTGACCCCATGATCTAGAGCTGCTCGGATTCCTAGCGCACATGCTTCGTATTCGGCCATATTGTTGGTACAATCGAAATTAAGCCTGGTCGTTACAGGAATGTGTTTCTTTTCGGGGGATATCAAAATGGCTCCTACCCCGTGTCCAAGCATGTTGGAAGCCCCATCGAAGAACATGGTCCACATCTCTTCTTTGGTCTCTTCGTGTTCGATGTGCATGATGTGCTCATCGGGAAAATCATCTTGTAAGGATTGGTATTTGTCTGTGGATCCATGGGCTAGATAATCCGCTAGGGGAATTCCTTTAATAGCTTTCTGGGTGACATGAATGATGTCAAATTCTGAGAGGAGAACCTGCCACCTAGCTATTCTTCCAGTTAAAATGGGCTTCTCGAAGAGGTATTTGATTGGATCCATTTTGGAGACCAACCATGTCGTATGTCGAGCCATGTACTGTCTGAGACGTTGAGTGACCCACACCAATGCGCAGCAAGTTTTTTCGAATGGTGTATAACGGGTTTCGTAGTCCGAGAATTTTTTACTGAGATAATAAATGGCCCGTTCCTTTTTTTCGGTTTCATCATGTTGGCCGAGTACACATCCCATTGACTCTTCGAGAACTGACAAATATAGGATCAGAGGTCTTCCTCCAACGGGTGGCACCAATACTGGTGGATTGGTTAAACAAGCTTTGATTTTATCAAACGCCTGTTGGCATTCTTCTTTCCATATTGTTGGCTGATTCTTGCGCAACAGTTTGAAGATGGGTATACATTTATCCGTTAACTGTGCGATGAAGCGGGCAACGTAGTTGATTCGGCCTAGAAAGCCTCTGACCTCTTTTTCCGTTTTTGGTGGGGGCATTTCCAAAATTGCCTTTGTTTTGTCGGGGTCTACTTCGATACCCCTCTCACTGACAATGAACCCTAGAAGTTTTCCTGATCGTACTCCAAAAGTGCACTTTGCGGGGTTTAACTTGAGTTGATACTTCCGAAGTCGATCAAAGAGTTTTCGGAGATATTGAATGTGGTCCATTTCATTTCTGGACTTGGCTATCATGTCGTCTACGTATACTTCTATTTCCTTGTGGATCATGTCATGAAATAACGTGACCATAGCCCTTTGATAGGTAGCCCCTGCATTTTTTAGCCCAAACGGCATTACCCGATAGCAAAAAGTGCCCCATGGTGTAATGAAGGAGGTTTTTTCTCTATCCTCAATAGCCAGTTTGATTTGGTTGTACCCTGCATACCCGTCCATGAAGGAATACAACGTGTTGGTAGCGGTATGGTCTACTAGTGTATCTATGTGCGGTAGGGGGAAATCGTCCTTTGGACTTGCTCGATTGAGGTCCCTGTAATCCACGCAAACTCTGACCTTCCCGGTCTTTTTGATGACGGGTACGATGTTAGCCAACCACTCCGGGTACTTGGACACTACCAGGAAATTGGCATCCAGCTGTCTTTGTACCTCCTCCTTTATCATTAAGGACCAGTCGGGTTTAATTCTCCTGAGCTTTTGCTTTACAGGTCGGAACCCCTCCTTTAGTGGCAATCTGTGTTCCACTATGCTTGTGTTGAGTCCATGCATGTCATGATATGACCAAGCGAATACATCTATATATTCTTTCAGAAGCAGTATTAACCCTTTTCTCATGCTGCTTTCCATTTGGGTGTCGATGTTCACCTTTTTCTCCTCATCCTCTTTCCCCAAATTGACAGTTTCTATTTCCTCCTGATGCGGTTGTATGATGCGCGTTTCCTTTCCCAAAGATTCTTTGCATGTCCGGAGAAATGGTCTCCCGCTCACCGTCGGACTCAATCCATTCGTCTTCCGTTTCCGGGTCCATGGAGATTCATCCATCACGGACATGATGTGTTTTAGGTTCTGTTTTTAGTCATAGATTTTATTATTCAATTTATTTTTGAAAGAATAATAAATAGAAGAGGGAAAAGAATGAATATGACAAAACGCCTCGTATATTAATGAAAAATGAGAATGTATGTACAAGCCCTTTTTAATCAAAATTCCTGCGGCCATGGGCGGGGACCGCAGGAGATATAGAGAAAAGCCTAAAAAAGAAAAGACCCTAGGGCTGATCCTCCCAATCCTCCCTCTCTGCTACTCCTGCTTTGATAGAGGCTTGTCATCCGTGCTGGAAGCAGAGGCGTCAAAAGTAATCCACCCGGCGTCGATTAGTTCTTGAACCTGATACTTAAGGGTCAAGCAATTCTCTATAGAGTGACCGGGTGAGCCCGAATGGTAAGCGCATTTTTCGTTTGGCTTATACCATTCGGGGTAGGGAGGCTCCAACTGTTTCTTGGGAGGGACGCAGGTCAGGAGCTTAGCCTCCAGCAGTTGAGGTAGCAGCAATCCGTAGGTAGTGGAGATTGGAGTGAACTTCCTTTCTTTCCTGCGGGATTGCCTGGGCGTTGGCGGGGTAGAGGAAGGAGTGGCAAAATTGATCGCGTGTACAGATTCATCCTTCCTCTTGCCAGCAGGTTTCCTGAAGGAGGCACCAGCTTGGGAAGATTGTGCTATCTTCCCGCTCCTTAGTCCTTGCTCCACCCTTTCGCCCACAGTGACTATGTCTGAGAAGAGGTTGGAGGTACTGGCTATTGCCATGTCGTAGTACACTCCTGTCAGTGAGTCGATAAACATAGTCACTGTCTCCTTGTCCGTTAAAGGAGGCTCTATTTGGGCTGCCATTTCCCTCCACCTCTGGGCGTACGCTTTAAATGGCTCTTCGTTCCTTTTGCTCAGAGTTCTAAGATCTGACCTGTCAGGTGTCAGATCGATGTTGTATCGGTAACGACGAAGAAAAGCGTCAGCCAACTGTTTCCAGTTCTGGACCTGCCCTCTCTCTAACTGCATATACCAGTTAAGCACTGTGTCCGCCAAGCTCTCCTGGAAGCAGTGGATCAGGAGTTTCTCATTGTCAGCATGGGCGGCCATCTTACGACAATACATCGTAAGATGGTTCTTTGGGCAGAGTCATCCCGGCGTACTTAGGGAAGTCCGGGATTTTGAATTTTGGAGGGAAGCGGATGTCCTTCACGAGGCACATGTCGCCCACCTCCTCGACGTCGAGTTATGCCCTTCGATCGCTTTCAGCCTCTCCTCTAGGGCGGAGAGTTGTTGTTTAGATACTTCTGGGGTAAGGACGCGTGCAGTCTTGGCGTCCTTATCGCCAAAAAAGTATTCCTCCTCCTCCTCCTCATGAGGAGGGATATGTTCAGCTTGGTCTTCGCCCTTGTTCTGCCCCTGGCGTACGACCTCCATTAGTTGGGCCATCTGTTCGCGGAGGATGTTAACCTCTGCAGTAAGCTTGCGGTTTTGCTCTTCCAAATTTTCCATTGCCTTAGCCTTTTGTGCACGAGTATGAGTGGGGAGAGGACCAGCCACTTTCTAGAATGTCCGAAAAAGTTTATTAATGCATGTTGAGTGCTTGAACTAGCATGGAGTATGCTTATGCATGAGAGATTTTTAAATGATGTTGAGTGTACTCCCATTTTTATTTTCTCTCT